GTTAAAACAGAATTTGGTAACAATAAAACATAAGGTTGGAGAAAATAAAACATTTCATAGGACCCTAAACATGTAATTTTTTTTTAACTTTTGATAAATTGATGTTAAATTGTTTACGTTTCATGATTTTAATTAATTAGACATGTTTTTTGATTAATACAATTTAATTCAACCATTAAAAAGGAGTCCAGAAAAATTAAAACGGAAAAAAACAAAACAAAAGCCCTCCCCCCCTCCAAAGCCATAAACCTAGGGGAAACACTGGAAGTATTGTGTTTAAATGGACAAATTCACCCAAAAATTGTCAAAATGCCCGTCTTGGTAAGTATCATATAGCAGACATAGCCGGCTGAACGTACTGTATCAGTGCACTGGATCAGTGCATTCTCTTAAAGTGACAGCACTTTCTTAATATTAATCAAACAGCAACAACAAAGAAATCACTCACTGCTCTTGATTGAATAGCTTTTGTAACTTTAATAAAGATTAATCTTTAATTTATACAGTCAAATATGCAATGCTGTTTTACATTTCATTTCTTTATTCAATTTCTGTACCTGAAAACTTATGTTAGACCTACCTAAAAAAAACTGAAAATCACTGTTTATTTTATTTGTATCTTTACTCTATTGTATTTATTTGTGCTGTTGCTTGTAGTTAGATAGATTATTCTTATTTTCATTTGACAGTATAGTTTTTACCTAAACATAGCACATACCGAACCATACCGAAACCGTGACTCTAAAACCATGATAACAAACTGAACCGTGAGTAAGTTGAACCGTTCCACCCCTAATTCAAACCAACTGCAAATCATTCTGAAGTCCACCAGAACTATACTAGGGAAGTAAATTTTGGTCATTTTGTCTGCTTGACAAATAAATTAGATCTGCATACACCCAAAATGCTGTGTATATATATAAATATATATATACACAGCATATATTTCAACTTTTTTAAAAGTTGAAAAAAAGGATTGCATTTATTATATTTTCAGAATTGACCATTACGAACTGATCAATCCCTAAAAAAACAAGCATACAAGTTTTCACATATGCTGCGCCAACAAAACAATCCTACTCTGAAGCTAAATGTACTCCGGTATGCACCAAAATTTCTATTGTGGGGGAAAAAAGGGTCCAAGCTGAGAGAATCACCCTAAAAACCTGAGAACTTTTAAATAAAACAGCTATACTGTGTAAGATTGCATATTTGTGGATGCATTGAGGACCTGCAAAGAATCAAGGCAATTCCAGGCCTTGTCTATTGAAGAATGAAGTTATTTGGCCACTCTGAGACATGCTGAAATATTGGATCGGGTGAGACGGCGGGATGACATGTGGTACAACAGCGTTCCACAGGGATGCTCTGCCCAGCAGCAAGTCAAGGCTAAATCGGGCCCATCTACAAGCCTCCCTAGAGAAGCCAGTTATGAAATGACATGACAGCACACATGTACTGCCAGACTGAAATATCACAGTCCTTTCTTTCTCTCCTTATTTCAAAAAAAAAAAAAAAAAAAAGGTCAATTCTGACTTTGCTATGACAATCTGGCGCTTCTGAATCAGCGACTGTAAC